AAATTTCTTTATTCAAAAAATAAATTATAATTATATCAGAAAAATATTTGCACATCTGAGAAGCGTGTAAGTATAGTAAGCAATTAAATGTAAAAGATATTGACGGACTTAAAATAAGTTAAACGTCGTTTATTAAGTGTATCTTGAAATTTTCGTAAACTTTATGATCACTTTCACTGTTTTACCGTTGCGTCTTTAACGATTATGGATACTATGGTGTTTTTACTTTCTGGCAATACAAGTTTTGTTGGAACGTTTATATTTCTTCGTTATTGCTTAATATTATTCATCTTTGAAAATCCCTTTCATCATCTGCCCGCTCGGCGTGCCCTTCTACGTCGGTCTCTCTGTCTCCGAGGTGTTACAATAGTCGTCCGTGAAGCGGGGATGCTAATGTCGCTCTCCGCAATGTCAGCGGCCAAGGATTCGAGTTGGCGGACAGGTAAATGGCCCGAACGTTGAACCGACGAATGACCTCCGACAACACAACGGCCCCCGTTTTCGGTGTCGAAATCATCTCTCGCGGCGGAGTAACACCGCTACAACAGCGCGACGGCTTTTTGCCTCGCTCGTTGAGCCGATTTGCCTTACCATTCGAACCGATTTGTAAAAATTTAAGATTGACGCGACCGCCGATCTGGTTACGTATTGATGTTGGAAGCGTGTGGAAATTTTCATGGCGAGCTGTGCTCTTGTAAAACCACGTGCAGAGCCCATGGAAAGTGATTAAAAATAAAAATAAATCCTTGAAAATAGACTTGCTTGTGCGTCATGGCTTTGCCAAGGCTTTGGATTTTTGTAGAAATAGCGGAAATAACGTTTTGCATAGTTCGCCACATTGACGTCTCGGAATAGAGACTTTTTTTCCCCCTGGATTACTTTTTCTATAATTTACAACGTAAATAAGTTGTAAACATGAAAGATATTTTCGAGGTTCTAATTTTATTCTAAATCTTTTTTACACAAGAGAGATTGTGTGAGAGAGAATTTCCCTGTTTTTGACGTCATAATGTACGCGATTAAACCCGACATGGGTTAAAATATGCAGCGTCGATCTTTAAATTTCAATATTCACGGGCAAGAAAAGAATGCGATGAAAATAATTTTGTTTGCCCCACAAGTCCTATCGGATTTCTTGGAAAACGAATCGCGGTTTGGGAACATTTCTTTTAACCCTCTCGGCGTGCGAGAGAAAAAAAACCGATTGATTTTTATTTATATCGGTGAAGGCGCGCGGGGCAGAAGACCGCGCGGCAAATGTCACTGACCCCGAGATAGAAGATTTAACAATCGTTCTTCAGTGAGATTCCGATGTCAAACAAATCCGACGAAGACGGGCCGCGACATGGGAAATGGATCAAAAAAGAGAGAGAGAGACATAGGTGAAACGGACGAAGCCAGAACCCGCCGCAGTGCAGACCAGCCCGCCGAGGATGTAACGTTATGTCTATTAGATTCCGGTGATGGCCAAGAGGAACGTCATGACCGAAGTCCACAAAGACACGTAGGAGCGAGATTAGGATTCGAGCGGACAGCAACCAAAGCTCTCCCGTCTCCTTTGGGATAAAGGTTTACGAGAATTCTCATATAAGCTGACGTATATGAAGATGCAGAAGGCAATTTATCGTGTTATTACATATTCCGCCGCAGTGTTCCGATTCCCTCTGGGATTGTGTTATTTCGCATCTAATATTCGGAGAAAACTGGGATAAATATCAGATAATAAATATATTAAAAGACTCATGATCCACATATTTAAATATAATAAGAATAGCACGTAACATGTGGAATAGGTATTTAAATACCATTTAAATTAAATAATGTTATTTGTAATATAATTTTTCTAAAAAAATTTGATTTAATACAAATGAAACAAATTAATCACGGATTGTCACGCACGTTGTCTCTCACGTGTCTCTTAAATATTTTTAATTGTTTAGCGCATGGTATGCAACTCATGTCAAGTATCCCTTTGTCCGTTGGCTCGATAATAATTACAATTACAAGCGAATGTCTATTAAGCTCGCGCTTGCGTGGACGGGTTCCGTGGAGGGATTTTCAGGGACAGTGTCGAGAGCGGAGTACGAGCGGGACAGAGTCAAGGCGAACGGTGACGTTCGTGGGGGACGAGGAGGACGGAGGAGTGAGAACGGGGGAGTCGGCAGCCTCTCCGTGTGGAGAGAGGCAGAGGCTCTCGCTCTCCCTCTTCGGGACGCGGTCGAAGACACGAGACACCACCATGGTCGCTCGTTACATAAGTAAGGTAAAGGATCTCCTCGTCTCTCTGCTCTCCTTGAGTCGATCCACATTCGCGATTATACCACTTTCCATCGACCTCTCCTTACCTCGGGAGCGCGCGGCGCTCGTTCACGCGTGTAAGCGCGCACGAGTCCGCGCGTGTGGGTGCCCCGCGTGTAATTAACAGTTCTGCTCGCGAGATTTGGCTTACAGCGTTTGGTACAGAAGGCGCGCGCGTTCGCTAAATATGCAGAACGACTCTGCACATCGGAAACGCGCATTTGTTCGTTCTGTCAGCAGATTTTAACGCGAATGGAAAGCATAACTTCGAAAAGGAGATTAATTTTACAGAAACGGCAGCTTACGCGTACATAGAGAATTACCGTTCCAGAACTGTTCTCGTCAATGCTTTTATACAGATTTTAGGATCGAGTTTGGAGTTCATTCATTTTGCATTAAAATGGAGAGGAAACGTTCAAAATAAATCTCTTTTTTGGAATAATCTGACTCCGAGATGTAATTATTAAAAGTACTTATTTTTCCGTATCATTTTATCCTATTAGCTTATAATTAAAGAAAAAAAAATTCAATTTTTTTAGAAACTCGAAGTATTAGCTTTTTGTTTAATATTTTGGAAAATTGTTTCTATATATGACTATAAATATATATAAAAAATGTATTAAATAACACATGACTAATATTGTACTTTTTCAATCTAATATACTCTATATACTCTAGATAGTAATTGCTCAATTAAAAATAAAAAAAAAATCTCTATTTAAAAGCTTTCTATTGTTAATATGTATTAACTTTTATGTCTATCTAGCGCTTGAGAGGATATTATCCTAGAGCGCGTTATAAATAGAGCAATCAATGAATTAATCAATCAATGAATCAATCAATATTCTCTTTGTGAAGCGTGATGATAAAAGATGACAAAATTACAATTACAAACAAGATTTAGAAAATACGTGATCCTTGAGACATATCAAAATAAAAAATAATTATTATAAAGGTTGCAATATAATTTTTTAATGTTGTTATAATTAAAGCTTCTTTTTTGAAAAAAGTACGTGAAGCTTCTCATGTAAATTCATGAATACTTTCTTGGAAGGCTCTCTCATTTTTTTGCGGGAGAAGTTCTCGAAATTCAATAGCGCCTAGGGGCTCCGTGATGTAAAGTGTCATTGTAAGTGGACTTGGATAAATTGATGTCGGAGCTGATGAAGTAAAATGTAATTTGGAAGTCGTCATCCAATGGTTGGCTCGCTGTCACGCAGGAGAGCCGAGCGTGCATTGACCTATCGTGTGACCTCCGACAACACGACCTTAATGTCGATGATGAACTCGACGCCGATTTACTTACGGTGACCCTGCACATATTCAACTGTTGTGCGCCGAAATGAATTTCCTGCACTTTTACGATGCACGCCACCATGTGCGAAACCAGTCTTTAATCTTTACACAAATTACTGAAATTGAATTTGAGGAGCAAAACATAAAATAACTAGTGGAACTGAATATTACTGCAGATGAGAAAATTACATTTGACGAGAATATAATCGTACAATAATGTACATTTACTTCATGGTCTTTTCATTCATCTTTTTACGTTTGTTTAAAAAATTTAACTCAATTTAACGGAGATCGAATTAATTTCATTAAAACATCGTCAATTGCTAATGTTGATTTAAATTAGAAATTGTTGTTAACGTTTTATTGCAGAAAATGTTAATAAAAATAAAAAATTAATGCGGATTAATTAACAACACGTTAGTTATGAAATTTTATAACTTTTTCATTATAATTTTTACTCTCGTTTTATTATGTAGCGTAAGGAAATGGTATAGACATCTACAGAAGAAAGAAGAAACTAAATTTTACATCTGTGGGTAGAATATCATCAGCAGGAGATGACTTTACCTGATTTGTTAGATGGCAGCAGAATGTGTCATCACACATTTAATTATGTTTCTGTTTTAATTAATCTATTTAATTGATATCATGCGATACAATAAATTAACAATTACAATAAATTGATGAATCATTAATCAATTCAATTTAATTGTATCACAGTTCTGTAACTGTAAAATATAATTCTCTTAAAATTATAATTTTAATTCTTAAATGAATAAATTTTTGTACGACTTTTTTATAATGCTAATTGATCTCGATATTATATGTACGTTATTTCTAATCGTGAACGATTATAATCGTACATTTTAATAATTTATTTGTTAAATTATTTGGTGGTAATAGAAAATTGATATTAATTTTTAACATTTATTAATAACCTATTGACCGATATTAAATTTTAAATCATAAGTTTTTAAATTTAACTTTTAGAATTTAAAATTTAAAAACACGTACAATAAATAAATTAAAAATTTAACTGTGACCTATTGAAAAATACGTGACATCAAGAAATAAATAGCAAGCTTTCTTGTTTTATTTAAAAACTCTAATTATATAAAGTAAGATCGGCTGTGTTTTCTTTAAATTATTTAATTTTTGGATTATAATGTAGTAATATATTACGTGATTATCTTATGTTTATATTTATATATATATTGATGTATTAAATAATTATTAATCTATATTGCATACTTCTGTTTCCGTTAAAAATACATAATAAAAAACATAAATTTCATTAATTTCGAAAGAAATGAATTAATAATTTATTATCGTCGCGTTTCTCCAGCATTCTCAATTTCAAAAGAATTATCGATAGCAGTCAGGAGATGGGACACAAAACTCCTATGTAAATAATTACATTTATTTATTTATCAATTTTACAGTGTAACAGTGTATAGGATACGCTGAATATAGAATAATCTCTTTTTTTATCGTTTACTAATTAAGGCGATTAGTGTGTGTAAGTGACTCCGTCGGATAACATACATATAATATTATAGCACGTGTGTGTGACTTATATTGGTTGCGATTAACAATTCGGAACGTTCGTGGTTCGAATTGGTCTCGCAGTTCCCGTGTTCGTGGACTCGGTTCGCGCGGCGTTACACTTACCTTCGTTTCGCGTTGTATAACAATAGATTTGATATTAAATATCTCATAACGAAGTAAATTACTGTAAGTTAGTTCCCTTTTTTTTTTATTCCTATGGTATTCGGTGCGGATAAGGCCACAATTAGTATTTCCGCGTGTGCGTCCGCCGCACACTCGTTCGCATGTATGTATATTCATATGTGGGTGTATATTTGTGTACGCTCGTGCATGTGTGTAGATGCGAGCTTTGTCCCTATTTTATCGTAATTTTTTTCAACAAAATTCTTTTAATATGTTATTGCAAAAAAGTGTTTGCATGCGTACGTGTGTATGTGTGTATCGTGTATGTATGTACGTCTGCCGTGTGCCGTGTGCATGTGTGCGTATGTGTGCCGTGTGTGTGCTCGCGCGTGCGATTCACACGGGGACGATGATGGATCCCTACGACGTTGCGCGCCTATTTCTCTCGACGAACGAGAGAAAGGGAGAGAAAGGTCGAGAAGAGAAGAGAGTCGGGATATCGTGAAATCGAAACACGTACATATTGTTTATCGTATCCTGCTCCAACTAACGGCACGCGTGTAACGCGTACAGAAATCAATAAATTGGTTGATAAGAAGAATTTCCACCCTTTCTTCGGTTAGTTAAAATAACTTTTTCCCAAAATCCGAATATGCATATGTATCGATAGTTTTGGAGAACACGTTTTTTAACACATATAGAAAATCAATAATCGATTTTCCTCATTTCGCGGTAAGCTTCATAATTCGCAAATTAGCAATTGGCAACTGTTGATTCGCAAATAAACAGTTGGCGTTATTTACGGATTATTAAATATGAGAGAAGAATAGCATCGTACAAAGAAGGCAAGAGAAGGAAAAAGTAGTAGTCAATCGGGTAGATTAGTGTCGATGTGTAGCGTGAATCGTGTATGTGTTAGACCGTCGCGTTTTCTCGCGCGAGTGCGAGTCGAAATAGAAATAACATCGCTATACGTATATATCAAATTTTAGTTCTTCATAAGAATATATATAATAATATGTAGGACTCTCTTTGTGCGCACACGCGCGCGTTTATCTCTCTACCATTGTACAAAGCAAAAAAAAAACGTTATTAATATTAGTAACATCACGAGAGCACGCGGAGCGCTTAGGCTTATTCATTATATCCTAATCGACGTGTTCACATTAACGATAGATTTTATTACAAGTAAGGCGATTTGATTTCTCTTCATCAAGCTCGCTGGTTGCGCATTCTATATATATATTTTTCCTTCTCTCCCGCGTTCATTGTCAGCTCTTTCAATCTTCGATGAGCCCGACGCGACGATCGAGCAAGATCATTTCGAACACAGGCGGATTCGCGTCAGTGTTCTCATAAATACACGTAGAACGAAATAATAACGAATAGACTAATGTCGCTACAACTACGAAGCTAGAAACGACTTCTCGCGTTCTCTCGCGCCGCCTCTCTTTCCGAACGATCCAATTCGGCGATCGTGAAGTCACTGTGCTGACCAAGCCGAGGACTTGGTCAGGGGATTCTCGAGAGCTTTGCCATTACCTCTGAAAGAAAGTCGGCGCGGAAAATCTCCGTCAAAACACGTCGGTTATTCGTAACAAAAATTATCGCGGCGTTAACGCGAAGGTTCTGCTGTTTCTTTTTTTTTTTTTCATTTATAATTTTCATTACGTCTCCCCGCGATCTCGTCTGTCGATGTGGCTCTGCGAAGTTTTCCCTATCGTCTGCGTGCGTCTCGAGTTCGAATTTGACGGCCAGTAAGATCACGACGACGCAGTATTTATTATGGCGTGCAACGGAAATCCGCTTGACTATACGGATTCCGCGATCGGAAGTGCGTCTTGCTCCTCGTTCCTTCTCTCCCTTCGCCCCTCTGCTGTCGATCCCGTTGTCAATCTCGACGTCGTGAAGCCGCGCGCTTTACATCAGCTTCATCTTGGCGCACTCGGGGCAGATGATGTCGTCGCCGTCGGTGATGAAGCCACGTCCGACCAGCGAAGTTTTGCAGCCCGCGCAGATGAAGCAATCGTTATGCCAGTGCCTATCCTCGAATGAGATGAAGCGAGTGCCACCAATACCTGCAAATTAATCGATACAAATCACCGATCAGATTAAGCTTATTTATTCCAGCTGTTCACTTACATCGCGCGTTCGTATACATATTGTGTTCGGAATGATTTCTATAACGGTGGAACGTGCGTATATTCATTAAAAGATCTATTGTCGAATAATAATGAGCACGTGATTAAATGATCGATTATTTTTTTCAAAAAGTCAAATTTATGTAACTTAATAATTTGAACTTTTGAGAAGATTCAGTTTCTAATATTTTTAATTTTATAAATATTTTATTCTTTTATTTTTTTTTATTAACAACAAATGAATAAAAAATAAAAGTGATGCGCACCGGTGATCGGCTTGGAGCAAGCGGTGCACCTCTTGGCGAACAGCTCGCCGAAGCAGTCGGCGCAGTACGGTTTGTCGTCGCGCGACGTGAATCGTTGTCCCGCTAGGGAGTTGTTGCAGTTGCTGCAGGTGAAGCAATCTCTGTGCCACGGCTCGTTCTTGTATGTCACGCCGCCGCTGGTGATGATCTGCAACAAAGAGTTCGCGATATCTTGTAGGACAAGTCGCTTCATCGATCCGTTACATCCCGACGGCTTACATTCGCGTTTTTTTTTAAGACATTTAATAGAGCTTATTTCTCAAGATTTCTCCTTCGAAACATGATGCAAAGAAAATAAGAGTAACAGCACGAATCAATTAACTGATTGTCCGAATAAAAATACCAATTGAAGAGATAGTGAATAAAGAGATATATCTGTCGATATATTATATTAATATAATAGGATACAAAATGTATATAGAAATAAAAAAGGACGAATATTTTGATGCAGTTTTATACGCGACGCAATATACGTATGAGTGGTGGAAGAGAGTCATTTAAGATGATACTGAAGTTACATCATGAGCATCAATAAAGGAGTTTCAAAGATTGTGTGGCTATGAAAGATTTATGAAAAAAATGTTAAAAACACGGAAACATTTAAAAATGACGCAGGATTCGTCGGAAGTAAAAGAACGTCAGTAATTCAGCGATTGATACGTTTTATATGAATTAAATGAATGATTGTTGCAATGGCCGTTTCATTTAACGACCTACGTAACTGTAAAGCATCGATACGCACACAGAGACTGTATCAGCGAGAGTTTATCAGATTGAGATTTATGGTCTCGCAACGGAGATCCCGCTTTTGATTCGCCTGTTACGCTCGACGAGCTTTTTGCGCGACACGCAATAAACGTACGCGAGATGCGCGGAGTAATCATATCGATACAGAGAAAGGAGTGGCCCACCTTGTTGCACTTAACACACCGGGTGGCGAACTTGTCCTCGTAACATCCGGCACAGTAAATCTCCTGCTCGCGCGGGATAAAGCTCTTCGTGCCGATCGGATTCTTGCAGACCACGCAGCAGAAGCACTTCTCGTGCCATTGTCTGGTCTTGTATTCCATCTTCTTGGTGCCTGAAACATGCAAGCACGACAAAACAAGGTTATAAAAATAGTCCAGTCTTTGAAGTTGAACAATATATTTATATTCAACAAGTTTGTCTAGATGGAAGAGAGAGAGAGAGAGAGAGAGAGAGAGAGCGAAATTTAGATTACAGTTAAAATACGATAGAAAAAGTCTGTGCAATTTCGCTTTCAATTTCCACTCTTGTTTATAATTTACTTTTTATTTTCAAAATTGTTCCTTTTCATCTGTTGAATTCATATTTAATCAATGATACCGTGACGCTTGCTGATGATTTGATATTCGCAGGTCGCGGGGAATTGCAAAAACACGCAAACCTAACAATAAATCGTAAATAAGTGTAACAAGGGGTCGCTGGTCCGCGTTTTAGCATCCAGACGGGCGGTTGCGTGCGGCGACTGGCGGGCTGCAATGCTACGTAAATCGCAGTCGCGTGCATCATCGCGTGTTTCGTCCGAGCACCCCGTCAGCTCCAGGGCGAAATAAATTTTTCGTGAATTTCTTCAGGAGCTACCCTATTGGGCACTCGTCTATAAAACACCCCTCGTTGCAAGCGAATTAGATCGATCCGCGGAATTTCCTCGCCCACGGTTTCGCGTTTCGCCTCGCGTTCGGAACCTTGTTCGAACCATAGAGAGCACCGCCGCGTTCCCGTTTTGCTGCCGTGTAGATATAGATTCGACGTCTTTCGCGATTCGCAATTAGCACAGGTGCAGACAGTCACATGGTAATAAGACCGCAGTGCGGTTAATCTCTTCCGACGTGGTGGTCGTGGCGTCAGAAGCTGCGCGGCGGCTTTCTGTGCCAAAGACCCAAAGAAGGTTCAAATCCACCGAGAACAATAATTAACTCTATAATCGGTTTTAATCGACTTAGAAGCGATACGCCACTTCTCAGAAGGCAACGGCAAGTTAAGAAAAAATATGTAACACTAAATTAAATATGTCAATTTAAATTGAAATGTATAGACTCAAGAGAAAATGTTTTCTCTTAACTTGAGTCTATACATCTTGATATCAAGTAGATATATTTAATTTGGTGTTACATATTTTTTCTTAACTTGCCGTTGCCTCCGAGAAGTGGCGTATCGCGTTTAAATCGATTAAAAGCGATTATATAAAGTTATATATATTGTTCTGGGTGGATTTGAACCTGAGACTTTGGTACAGAAAGCTACTGCGTAGCTTCTCATACAACGACCGGTCCTAAGAAATTAACCGCACTGCGGTCTCGGGACTTTGATTGGCAAACCGCGTGATTGCGGTCCGCGACGAATTAGGAAATTTAAATTATCGAGACGTATATAATAGGATTTTTATCCAGAAACGAAAGCGCTAATATAAATATGGCCATTGATCGAATATTTCTGTCGTTAATTTTTCTTTTAATTTTCGACATGATTTTTCAGAGATGTGTTTCGATATTTATACATGAAGATAAAAGCACCGCTAAGTAATGTTAAAACAGTCGCGACATCGGAACTTTTTAAAAAATTATTTTCCTCGTCCATCGTGAAATTGCCGTAATCTACAGTTAGGAACAAGACGGTCGGTTACTTGTTTTCGTTAAGATTAGGAATATTATGTGAGGAACGTGACGTGACGTAATGTTGTTTAGCAGATGAGTATTGTCGGCTTGTTATCGTGGTCACGTTCCGTGACTCGAGAAGCGGACAGATAATACCGAAGATCATTGACTAGAAAACACAAACGTATTGTCTGTTGTTAATGCCGTACTAATTGCGTACCTCAAGTTGAGATTATTACACCATCTTGACATTATAACATGGTAATCAAAACGTGTTACGAAATGACTATAAAATGAATATAATATGTCCCTCAGAATTTTTTAGAGACATCTAAATTCAGTTAGAATAGAGTGTCTCTCTTCTATTTAAATTCCAAAGTAAATTAATATGTTAAGAAATCACTTAACATTAAATTTCTTTTTAACATTTTTATATTTTATATTACACTTTAAATTCTGATTTGTTTGTAAACTTATGAATTTTTTGAAAAAATAATCATTTATTTTATTTATTTCTATTTTAAATATTTTTATATATCACATTCTTAGTTTCTCTTGTAATTAAGGATATACATTATGCATTTTTTTCTTTATATATTTAATGAATTTTATATGAAATTTAAAATCTTAAATTTCTTATCTTAAAATTTTCAAAATGTAAAATGTAACGTATTGCACATGTAAAATCTAATCTCTTCGGCAATCAAATTTATTCGCGCAGATTTTGAACGAGACGCGTAATAATGCGTGGGCATTCATTATGTCGCGTTTTTTTCCCTTCGTATCCGAGAGACAAGAAGACGACGAATTAATAACGTCTTTCTATTTCGAAAGGTGATCTAAGGTCCGGCCAAATGACACACTTAAATGTGACATTAAGTATAATAACGTGTCTCGTGAATCATCAGCTCAATCCTAAATGTTTATGGTATAGGATCACGTCTGAGACAGTCTCTCAATGACGATCGAAAAGCTTGTTTTATTGAAAAATTCTCCTTTCCGTTTTTTTTTTCTTCAAAGACAGAATTTCGGAGTAGAATACAATACCATACAATAAACCGCGACTTTGTCAAAACCTTGAATCCTCTCCTGATCGACAGAGCTCTTCAATGTGTCCGAAGAACACTTATTATCCTATCGAGAATAGAGCGTCTGTATTATCGCATATCGAGTGCCGATAATCGTCTCCATTTTCGCCGATATAGATTAATGAACGGCGCGCAATATCTATTCGAGTACTTAGCCTGTTAATCATCGCGGGCTGATTCGTTAAATTATTCATTCATTACTGAGCACTCTGTCAAATTTTGTTAAATCTAGTCTTCGAGTTACAACTACATCGCCATCTGCAAATTACTAATTATGCATCCGTTACATTATTTAAGCGATCAATTATGTCTCGATCTAATGCAGACATGGTAATTATGTCATAATAATCAATTTAAGACTGCAGACTCGAAAATAGTAAAGTGAGACTCAATTCATACAACTTGCAACAGTTCGTGCAAATTTCAGAATATTTTGTTACAAATAAAAACGACATATCGATATACTCCAAATTACATTTTTTTTTAAAAGAAGATATCCATATGCACATTCCATACATTAAGCTCGAATTTCACTTGTAGATATGATTTATTGAAATATCTGCGATATTCAAAATAAATATGCGGCGTATTCCAAATATATATTTTTACAGTCTTTATTATTTTTCTCTTTTTATAAATATCCAGATGGTTTTTTTTTAGAAAGATATACATTTGAGCTTTTTATTTTTATTATTTATGTGTCAAATCTTCAAACGTGTTTATTTTACGTTTCGATGCTTTTCGAGGTGCACTAAAGATGGACATTCTGATATCCATGTATCTTTCGTGCACGACACGCTGCCTCCTGGACCACTATGACTCAAGTGGAGATTCGCGTGACGTCACGTCAGCCAGGCAATACCTCCGTATATGTATAAAGCTGATGGCCCAAGGCCGATGTGGTAATCTTATGCGCGCCGCGTTGTAATCCGCGTGTTATATTCGCGCTGTTGAACGGTGCGTACATGTTAAAAATTGGATATTTACATATCCTTCATCAGCATAAAACGTTTATATATAGTCGCCATTGTGAAAACATCCTTTTGTATACAATCTTATCAGGAATCTTCTATAATTTTTTAAGATGTGGAGGATATGTAAGAAATAATGGATGATACTTTATCCACCAGAGATTCCTTGAATGTTTAAACGAAGATCCACCAAAAACTGGTTATGAAATTTATGGATATAAAATAACGGAGCGCTCTCAAGAGGCACTCAATAAAGATGTATATTTAAAAATATGAATATTTAATATAACAGTAGTTATATTTCAAGATATAAAGCAATTTATGCCTCTTGACACGTGTTAACCGTATGGAATCGCACCTCGTTGACAGGCACGAGAGATGCGCTTTAAAACCTACTTAAGAAGTGTCATTCACGCTCTTAAATGACCTGTTCGTTCGTCACGGTAATGAAGTATCTCCCGGCGCCGTGACGAGGGAGATTTTTCGATTATCGCAGATACTCTCAGACGTCATTTGAAACTCATCCTTCTAAGCGTTTTTCTTACATACGTAGCGCAATATCGCGACTCTCATAATGTGTTTTCGTCGCGACTATTAACACGAGATGGACAAACTATTCCAAAGCTATACTGGAACGTCCATTTAACTGCTATATATACATTTAACTACTGGCATTTAACTATCGTTTCTTCAACAACAGAAATCCATTAAATCTTGCTAATTCCTCCGCCGGTCGGACACAAGTAAACAATCCAACAGAGACTGTTATCTATTTCGGTAAACTGCGAAAATGCCGTCATTAATTATTTAATGATCATTTATCATTCCGTCATTCTTCTTCGACGCTTCGTCGATCGTTAACGCGCTCATTCAGACGTATTTTATGATTATCACTCGTGAAATTGGTAACACGCCCTTCTAAGCCGACTCTATCTCGAGGCGGAAGCTGCCTCCTCTTTCCTACGTCAAGTCTAAATATAATTCAACGAGAAGCAGAAGCTGTCGTGCGGGCGATTCTAAAATTTCCTGACCCAGGCAAACTCTGTTCGCCAAACGTATATATATATACGAAAATCAAAATCGAGTTCGAAATTGTAAATTGCTTATCTCACGCCCGCGAAACTATTCTCAAATCAAAATTTCCTTCCGCTTTATTTAATTCTGTGACGTGCCTCTCATCTGTTTCATTTCTATCAACGTATAGATTAACTTTAATCTCGGTTTATCCTCTTCTAGTTTTAAGAATTAGAAAAAGATAGAGAGTAAATTAAACTGAAATTAAAGTTAATCTACAATGGTAGAAATGGACCCTTCGACTTTTAATATTACTTATACGTAAATATATTCTCTATATGTATAACGAGCAAGTAATGTCAATGTTACATTCTTCCCACATTTGATTTA